GCCCATGCCATGGCAGGGGGGTTGGAACTAGATGATCTTTAAGGTCCCTTCCAACCCAAACCATTCTATGATAATCCAACCACTCCTCCCTAAGCCTGTAGTGTTGCCAGGACTTGTTGTGGCCAAAGTGCAGAACATGTCATTTGGCACTACAGCAAATCTTTCTGAAAAACAGCTGATTATTTGATGGTTGAGGACAGCACTATGCACTAGCACCATCTTAGGACAACCATCTTGTATTAATTACTGTTTTGCTTGCATATGTAAACTTTAATTTTGAAACTAAATTTGCATGTCATCAACTGATACAGGAGGCTAGTGTAATGTCTTCATTAATCAGACTAACAGACCTGACAGTGTTGGGTAATTCTCCTGTGCATGCCTTCTTATACCAAGTGATTAAACCACCATCCCTTACTCTCTTAAAAAAATTTAGTTAGGCACCATAAAATGCCTTCTGTCTGCATCATTTTTCATGCCCCTTCAAGCTCTTCAGTGCCTCCATACATCATTTGACAAATACATGGACATAAAAACTGGACTTCATATATTAAGTAGTTTCACCAGTGTCATGTGTAAGAGCAAAATGATTTCTATACCTGTATTTGATATATCTACTAACACTAAAGCCCAGGACACTACTCCAATTGCCTTGAACTGATGGTTCACACTAAGGTGATTATCCAAAATAACCTGTAAGGTCTTTTACGTATCATTGCTTCTCAATACATCAAATACAGACTACAAAATTTTCATACTACCACGAAGCCCAGGACAGTGAAAATAATGTCCAGCATAGTGAATACGCAAAGTCTAACAAAGCTCTCTACAACATCTGCAATATGAATAATAGTCAAACTTTCTTTCTCCCTCACTCCCTCTGTGAAAACAGATGGTTCATTCAACTTTATTTTAAGAATTCTATTTTCACTGAACAACAGCTGGATCCACTATACAAAGTACCATGTCTGGCTCACATTTCTATGCTCTAATATAATTACTCTTTTATCTCATGAAATTACACAATATTCATTTAACTCTGTATTGAGAAAGTCTATGAGTGTATTTGGGATATAAATTAAAAGAACAGAAGAATCTTTGGCAACAAAATCATTCCATTTAAAACAATTCTGTGTGTGTAGTAAACATAAAAGCATCTGACATTTGAATGATGGTGGAGAAAAATCATGTAGATGACATTAAAGAATTAAAGACTACACGACTACTGATGAATAACCTTAATGTCTTTCCTCCTACTCTGCATATGTTTAACATGCACACGGCTAAGTGGCACTCTTACTCCCACTTTCTTTTCAGACAAGGACACTGAAAACATCATGGCAAAGAACTTACAAATTAAGTATTACATTAATTGCTGGCTGAAGTATATAAATATTAAAATGTGGATTATCAATTATTCCATCTCAATTTACACCCTGGATCTATGCCGGAACAGCAGTTAACTTCACGCTGTTTCACTTTTTTTTTTTTAAGTGACTGTACCTATTGTAAGCCAAACATGCCTTCAAAAACAGAAGTTTCTCCAGTTCACTTATATGGTCCTGTTGGACTATATCTTGTAAAAGGGGCAGAGATGAGAATCTACTCTGGTAAGGGAAAAATATTGCCAATGCAAATTACCTCCAGAAATCAAACCTTCTTACTGGCTCAAAAACTGAACCATTTCAGTGATACTTGTCTCCAGAATAAGCTAAACGCAGACAGTTGACTGGAAGTTTCAGCATAAAAATATCAATTTTAGTAACAATACAAAGAATTGAAGGCCTTAAAATTCAGAAGATTAAACTGTTGGATTCTAGGTTGGTTCCCACCAGCTCCACTTGTAATACCTAACAGATGAGCAGGCACTTCTATCAACAGCCAACTGTGACTCACTCTCTTCTACAATTCTTAGTTTAATATGTATCCCTAAAAAGCCTGGCCTTAATAAAAGGTTTAAAACCTTAAAAGCAGTCTACCATTCTCCGCTCCCCCAAAATTTACTTCTGCTTAAAAGAGAACAGCAATGTTTCTTTAGGTCCCTGTTTGCAATGTTGTGATCCCAACAGCATAGATGTAATCGAATTAAATCAATGGAGCCTCTCCCAATAAGTCTGCTAGGCATGGACAATGGCCCCATGAAGTCCCTGCAAGGATATAATGCAGATTCAACAAGCTGTCTTGTGTTAACAAGACCATCTTTTGTAAAACAAAATTAAGTCCACTCTAATTACAACAATTACCTTGAAAACAAGAAAGTTAAGACTAATTATATTTACCATGATGGATAATGCCATTCTCTAATAAAGCCTGGCCAAGATTAACACCTTCTTCAGATTTGTGTATCTCTCCAATTTCCAACAACCAGGACACAAATTCACTGAAAAACAGATACAAAAAACAAAATAAAACAAACCTTTAAATGTCATACCACCACATCTACTACATCTCCCTCCCACTTACTAGTGTTTCTTACTAGCCTTATAAGTGATCCTTAAGCCTAATGATGTCTAGACTGCCATATCATCTTTTAAAAAACCACTCATTTCAACTTTTTAATTATTTTGACATAAATACATATGGTTTCCCTTGAGATGTCTCTTCTTTTCTGTTCAGAACTTTTACCTTTGCACATGGTGCACTGTTCGCAAGTTTGCTGATGATACCAGACTGGGAGGTGCTGATGACTCCCTTGAGGGACCAGAGGCCTTGCAGAGGGATCTGATAGATTGGAGCATTGGGGAATCATTAATGGCATGAAATTTAACACGTCCAAATGCCAGACTCTGCACCTGGGATGGAGTAATGCCAGGCACAAGTATAAACTGGGAGAGGAGTGGCTGGCAAGCAGCTCAGCAGAAAGGGATGTGGGGGTGCTGGTTGACAGGAGGCTCAATAGGAGCCAGCAGTGTGTCCTGGAAGCCAGGAGGACAAACCACATCCTGGGGTGCATCAAACACAGGACAACCAGCCTTTCAAAAGAGGTGATTATCCCGTTATATTCAGTGTTGGAGTACTGTGTCCAATTTAAGAAGGATGTGAAGGTCCCTGAATGTGCCCAGAGGAGGGCAACAACACTGGTGAAAAGGCTGGAATGTCCTGTGAGGAGTGGCTGAGGACTTTGGGCTTGTCTAGTTTGGAGAAAAGGAGGCTGAGGGGCGACCTCATTCCTCATTACTCTCTACAGCTTCCTGAGGAGGTGAAGTGGAGGAGGTGCTAATGTCTTCTCCTTGGGATCCAGTGATAGAATGCATGGGAATGGTGCAAAACTGTGCCAGTGGAGGTTCAGACTGAACACTAGGAAGCATTTATTTACCGGGACGGTGGTCAAACACTGTAACAGGCTTCCTAGACAGGTGGTCATTGCCTCATGCCACTATCAGTGCTTAAGAGGCATTTGGACAGTGCCCTTAACGACATGCTTTAACTTTTGGTCAGCTAGCCCTGAAGTGATCAGGCAGTTGGACTAGATGATCACTGTAGGTCCCTTCCAACCGAACTATTCCATTCCATTCTCTTCTTTTCTATTCTATTTCCCATGGGTTTGGTGATTTCCTAAAGTAGAACAGCCACATGTGACCAGACTGTCAAATTTAAGACAACTCCAGGTATAGCTGCTGCACCTGCCCAGGGTAGATATGCTATGAAGGCAGAACATAATCGCAGTAGGCCTAACAGAGATTACAAATATAGTGTGGTTTCCGCAGAACCCCAAAGAAGATTCAAAATATGTTTTAGTTGGTTACAATGTATGCTATAAAATACATATAATACCTTCCAAGAAAGCATTTGGGGAAAGTGGTTAATTTCCTCTTTCTGTCTTTGATGAGATTCCCTTGTTTGCACATCATTTTGTACAGTCTTTCTCCTTGCTCAGAGATCATCACCCAAGTGTCCTGTTCCATGCCCAATTTTAAACCTGCCAAAAATGAATTAAAATTTTATGAAGTGATATTGCCATTACATTTCAATATCTCCTCCAAAATAGAGAAGCAATACCAATATTTTACACACAAAAATAGTAAAGGAATTGTTTTCCATCATTTTTCTCAGAATCAAGATTCACCTACGAACATCTAATAATCATAAAAGCATAATCAAATTTTAGCCATAATTTTCTCATAGTGAACTTAATTTGTTACTGAAAATGCATACCTACACAGACATCACCATTGCTACTGCAGTAATAAATACTAATGCTGTGATTTTCAGACTTAGTATATGAATGTCTGCATGTCTTCACAAGTTTAAAAGAAAAGGGACTTTCTTGGTTTTGCTCTTACTGTAGTGATAATAAAAATATTTTCACATAAAGGAAACATTTTCAAATTTCCAGTGAACAGTAACTAGTTATCTGTTATACATTTCTTAGTTTCACATAACAGTAATTCATCCCTTTTCCACAAAAGCATTTATCTAACTTGATTTTTATTTACCGCAGAAATTTCCCAACAACAAAAAATTATTAAAGGTTTTAGTTCAGTATGTCTTACTCGTTTATTTTTTCCCCATTTCTCTTCTTGAGAAAAGAATGTTTTCTGAGTAAAAGACCATCAAGACCGGTTTTTGTTGAATTATGTATCCTACCAACCAATAACAGAAGCCTGTGCTTCCAAGGAATACCAGAGACCTTCAGATCCCATGTGCTTTCTCCATAAGTGATTATTAATTCTGGACAAACCACACATTCTGGAATGTCTTATGTACATGATCTCAGTTTCTGTTCAGATTTTAAAACTATAACTGTACATATTAAATCTGAGTAACAGTCTGCCACTTCATTAATTCTGAAAAAAATAGCCAGAAAAAATGTACCAGTCATGAAAAAAAGCTAACAAAGGTATCAGAAACAGATACAGGAGTGTCTCTCATTATCCATGAACCAGGTAGTGGTGATGCCACAGAAATAGATAAAACCTAATTTATTGCCAAGAAAAGAAAATTAACCAAAATACTACTTTTGGAGCTTACAGGATGTTGATGTTTTTATTTGTATTGACTCTTTGAATCAGGCCATCAAAGCATCATCAGCCTTAACAAGAATCATCTTTTCAATAAATTTCTAACTTGCTGAATGCTTCACGTGGTTATAGGAAAGCCACAAAACTGACAGAAAGACTTCCTAGCAACAAGTTTCCAATTCAGTTTGATTTATCCTAGCAAGAAAATACAATCACTAAAGTGGTCCTAGTTGGTAATTCAATCACAACCACTGAATTCCCTGCTACAGTACTTCATTCAGAGCATTCTCTCTCTTTTGCTCAGCTTCTACTATATGGATTCTAACTAAAACTACAGGCTGAATTTCCCTAAGTACACTGAATCTCTGTCTCCCAACTTGAGAAGCCCAGCAAGCCCAAGCTACATGGCACACTCAAGCTGTATTTCCATACCTCACTCCTGCTCCACATGCTGTATTTACCTAGTCTGCAGATCACTGCAGTCTGTTGTTCCGTGTGAGATGTGGGGTCTACAGCACCCTTAGGAAATAATGCATGGGTACGCAGAGCATGACGAGGAGGGAGTCACTCACATGAACATCACTCCCAGCCCAAGAGATCTGGCAAGTGTGTTTATTTGTTATAGCTGGTCTCAAACTCACAGAAATAAAACACTGTTCTCACATGTGCAGTCACTTAGACTTCAGTGCAATTGCCTATATATATACACTTACATGAACAGGCTCCATGTCTTAAGTAAACACACAATTAAAGCATCTTTATATTCCCAGTTAAAGGGAAAGGGCTTATAGCTACATTTAGACACAGTATTTGAATTCTAAAAAGAATGTTGTTTGGTTCCCAAGCCATTTGGCAACCTGCCTGCAATTAAGTTGATGCATCCTGCTTTGTAAGAGGTGTTTATACAGACATTTTGAAAAACATCACTGTGCTGGAGGCAGTGGATAAATTTATAAATTGACGGACTAACAGGGATATTCACGAAATACTTTGGAAGGTTCTGTGTTGCAAACTGAGTCTAGGTGTGTACTAAATCCTCTCCTGCTCTGTCCTCTTTCTCCTTTTGTGGTTGACTCCTTGATGGCAAATGCACAACAAAGACCAGGATCTGAACAATTCCCCAAGTCATATGATGCTAAAATCCTAGGTCATGGCTTGACTTTCGGAAGGCTAGTTCAGACATCAAGCTTGGCAAGGTTTAGCTCAAACTCACCTCTGCTACCAGCTGCACAAAAGTATAGTGTGAAATAGCAAGAATACATCAACATAAAATACTCCCACTCACTCTTTCTGTTTCTTTCCTAAAGGTATCAATAGTCTAAGGGCGTGGTGGAGTGGGATTTGTTAAAAATCATTTTAGCCAGTTTCAGACAAGGCCCAATGCAGACGCAGGCAAACCTGGCTTTTCTTGTCTTTGACGCCACCTCCATCTCTACCACATTGATTTTTCATTTGTTACATGAAAATGTCAAGGGTTTAGACGTCCAGGACATCTTTCTAGCTTTTCTACTATTAATTCCTGTTGGCACTATTAATTCAGCAGTGCTCAGACACCGTAGCTGAAACTCTGGTCCTATGGCAGATGTTCTACAAACATCCAGTATTCAACTTTAAAAGACCAAATAAAGTATTGTTAGTCTCCATTTACAACAGAGGCACAAAACAACGGCTACTACACAGACCAGGAAAAGAATCTTAGGTCTAACTACAAGGTCATATTTTCTTTCAATACCAAGGCTCTAAACATCGTTATTGATTAGGATATTTTAGCCTGCAAATGAAATCAGCTCCAGAAGATGATGATGCGTCATATTTCCCTGGTTCTACTTTGTGCTGGGTTCACCTTGAATATATGAGGTTTATTTGTTGTCACATTTGAGATCAGGATTATATTCTTCCACTTTAATCCAGTTATTCAAAAAGATAGTTGTTTGTCAACAGTCATATCTTACTTTCTTGGGTAGAGGAGAATACATTAAAATATGAGTTTGTGGGTAAATTGTCTACCATTTCATGTTGGATCACCTGCATGAAGATCCAACATAGAAAAACTGCTCATGTCAGTGATCTAAATGCCCAGTCACAAAAGGGAATCAACTCATATAAATCTCACTAGATATTTAGGACAGACCCTCGTATACCACAAACCATAATAGTACACAGGCCTCAATGAAATTACTACAATTTATACTGGTTGAAGATAAACTGTAAACTCATAGATTAAATCATCAGCCCATTTCCAAAACAGCTTTCACTACCAGCATATGTGATTCAAGCCATTACGCCCTCCTCAGTAAAAGTTTGATTTATTTTTTCCAAGCTGGTATTCATAAACCTTCTGCTGAACCTGACACCACAATTTTGCCTAGCAGCTGATTTTGCTTTATATCTCAACATAAAAAACCCAGTATGGCTTTCTGGCAAAGCAGCACAAGGACATTTATTAACCTACCTTTTCTTCTCTCTCGCTCTTTCAAAATAGCTTCCAGCCACTCTTGCTTCTCTTCGGGGCTTTTCGCCATGCATACAAACCATTTGTTCTTTGCTGTGTTGTGGATCTTCCAGCCATTAATAACAGTGTGGCCGCTGCTGTGATAGTCAGCTGGGAATAGATAAAATGCCTTAAAGAGCAATAACTCTTAAAAAAGCAATAGTTATTATAATTATAAAGAGCTCTTATCATTACAGATAAAGCTCAGGAGATACAGAAGAATAAAAACTAATTCAAAGTTATCTGTGCCGCTTGTGAACTATGTTTTAGGTTAATAAGCTGTACTTCTAACTTTTAGCAAATAATGTCCTTTTTAAAAGTAACAGAGAATGCCTAGCATATGGAAAAAGGTATAAACTTGACACAAAACCAGGCAGAGTCCTGTTAAAAGAATAGATAATGGTTCTTGGAGTACTTTTGTTTGTGTTAAACTGTAATAAATAATTCCTTAAAAAGCAGCATTGTGATTTTGGCCTGGAAATTACTCAGAGCTGCTGTGCTGCTTGAATGATTTACTATTAAATTTTAAAAGAGACTAAATATACAGGGAGAAAAATACAATTTCAGTTTTAAGAGTAAGCAACTCATATGTATTTGTTGCATCTTTATGGTTACCTGAATAAAAAAAAATATATATACATATCTACTTGTTTGTGCAAACGGAATATAATACAAGATTTACTATGACTTCAAACAACTGCACTAACTAAATGCATATGTTTTTCAAGATGTTCCTAAAAACTCTTATGTTCAGTGTGCACATTATGGGAGAGGTAACAATTGCTGATCTTGGATATCTTGAACTTCTGACTCCTCAACATGTAAACCGCTATGCTATAAAAAGTACACAATTTACTACTTGTTACTCTGTCTTTACTTACATAATATTTGATTATAACATGCTACACCATAAGTCTTATTCAGAAATTAGTTAAAGAGGCTTCCTCTCCAGAACTAACACCCTTGAATATCCTTCATTAGGATTACATGCATTTCCTGGGCATAAGTGTCCCACTGTAACAAATACAATTTTTCACCTAAAATACAGATTAAAAGTGGAACTAGCAACTATTTTACAAAATACTAAAAAGAAAAAAAGTCAACTTTCTCTCCCTATGAACTTTCATTAAAAGGCAAAAAAGTCCTAGGGCCAGCCCTGAACCACTATAACTACAGAGATTTTTACTTTGTATATACTTTTTCATAATTCAGCCCTGTTTTGTATAATGAGATGGGATTTTCTGAAACTGAAACCCTTACTGAAATGCTTGCTAAAATTTATCATAAATCTCAGCAGATATGCTAGTATCCTTTCAATAACTCTGCATTTTAATTAGATGGAAAGCAGACAAGCTTTGTATACTGGGTTGAGCAATGTCAGGAACTACTAGAAAATCATGAGACTGATGGCTAATTTCTAAACCATCTACTTTTTAGTACTCAAACTGTATAAGAAAGTGCAAGCAAGTCTATGACAGGGAAAAAAATGAAGTTAGTTATTATTCCAACTGTATGTTTATACTGCTTACCTATTTATCATATTTTTATTCACATAACCTATGCATAATATCCTTTGTCCCTTTAAAAACACTGCTACTTGAAAACTAGCCATCATATCATTCATGCACTGTCAGAAAATCAGTCAAAAGTCAGGGAAAAGAAAGACATCTCAGACAGAAGCTATCAGCTGATAGACTGCAGCATTCTGGAGCTCAGAGGCAGGAGAGCTACTGGAGGAAGGAAGGTTAAAGTCCCTTTGTATTACTTAAGCCTACACTTATAAAGCTTGCAATATGGTCCTAGCTGCCCCTTTTTGTTTATTTATTAAGTTAGAGGTTAAAACATATAAAACTACAGGGTGGTATTTTTCCTGTAGTCTTTGTTACCATACTTCTATCATCACAGCACCCATGTTTGGTAGGGAAATATGACCTCCAACGCTGTGAACCGTAGCAGTTAAAAATGTGGTAAAAAAAAAATTAAAAAAAATGATGGCTCAGACTCACAAATGGACTTAGATCCCCCCATTTCACTCTGGACAGAAATTTGGTGTCAACTTAGTAGTTTAATTCAGAAAAAAAAAGTCTTATCTAGCCACTTTAATATCTCAGTGTAGAGATGACATTTTAAACATGTGGTTTCCTTTGTGCAACTGCAGGGCAGTTTGATCACAATTATCTCATGCCACTACAAATTCACTGAATTCTGTGAAAAGCCCATTTACTAAGCCCAGGCACTAAGACTGCCTAATGTGTACAGATGCCAATGAGTTCAGGTGGAGGAAAATGGGTAGTTATTGCCCAGTTTCGCAATAGTAACCCACTCGTGTGATGGCCAGCTTGACTACAACTTCTACCTTTAACTGGAACACTCCTGCTTTCTCTTTTGCTCCTCGTTTTCCTTATGACTATAATCCCCCAAGGCTCCCGTGAGCAGTTTGGTTCTCCCCAATACTCCTGCAGCTGTAATCTCCTGAAGAGCATTTCAGCATTACACTATCATCCTTGTTTGGTCTGGCTATTGGACAAAATCTGGTCAAGATCTGGTCAGGAGGGTATGCATGTTCTGACTGGCCAGCTGCACAGGATGTATGCACACTCTTCACCACAAGGCAATTACAGCTGCCAGTCAGGCTAAAAGAGTGATTTGCAAATCCAACATAATAGTTAGAGAAGGAAGAAGAGCAAGAGACTTCGAGTTGCTCCATGCAAAGTCTGAATAAGCCTGCTTAATAAGTCATTAAGCCTTCAACTTCCCAAGAAAAGGTGATGAAAGATGTATCACCTTCTAAAGATACTTGGTAATACATTAAAGATTGTGATTTAAACTATAATATATTGTTCAAAATTCAAGACTCAAACTTTTGAGAGATGCACAGCAAGCAATTTGTTGCAGACATATACAACAGAATCCATTTCTTCCCATAAAATTCCAGACAGAAACCTATGTATTGAAGTATTTCTAAGTTTCTCAGACTTAAGGTTCTTAGAAGCACTGATGCTGTAAAAGACCAAGAAAATAACTGCTGCATAATATCAATTCCCTTCCTCCTCTATACACTTTCTGATGCAGTCTCTGGTTACCATTTATCATGTAGTGCTTTTTCTATTTCATATCTCATTTCAAGACAACAGGGGACAGAACTAAGATAGTATAAGCAACCATAAATCTGGTATTTCCTAAATCTCATGGGCTTGTCTTCATAAGCTAAATAACATTCATTTAATGACTGGTGAATGCCTTCAGAAACATACTTTTCTCTCAAAATTTAATAGAGAAAAATCTATACCACCATAATACATACACCTTTTTAATACTTGCAAGCTGCTGTGTAGCCACACTGTTTTAACAACAGTCTGCCCTGATAAGTAATATGCATTCCACCTTAATCAGTGCAATGAAAAAAAATGCAGAGTGCTTCATGATGCTAAAACAAAAAAGAAAGCTTCCAAGAGCTGTACTGCTCAGCCAAGGCCTAATTTCATCAAAGAAAAAATTGCTTTTCAGAAAAAGCTTTGTTAATTTCTGTAGGCATGTCATTAGCATGACAATAAACCACAGTGGGAATCTCTTTTCCTATTTCTATGCTTCTACTTACAAATAACAAAGACTACATTCCTACATCTATCAATGCTGAGAGCAAATGCTCTCAGTTACCCTGTTTCCTAGAGCCCTATGGTTCCTTATACCAAGTTAGGAGAGGATCTCAAAATCTACACTATTTAACTCTGGATGTGTCAACTAGACTCAAGTCTTTAATGTCTACAAAGAGACCCATGAAGAGTACATGAGAAAAAGTCATGCCTTGATATGAAAATATAAGCAGTCTACACTCAAAGCTGGTACTCTAAATTAAAAACTAAATAAAGTGATAGGCAATAGATGCTTAAGAAGAATAAAATAATACAATACCAAAAAAAAGCACATGCAAAGCTAATGTGAATGAGGCTCAGACAACCAGATTACTACAACTGGGAATGAGATGAGACACAAAGAACACGGAAGAATAGTACTGGGTTACAGTTCAAACACAAGTGAGTACAGGGGATGAGAAACAAGACATCTGGGTGCAATAAATGAGAACAGGACAGAAACCAAGACAGAAATAACACAGACATTTCCAAATTTCAATGAGAACCACAGAAAAGAGGGACAAAATAGCACTAATTACACAAAAATATTATTTTAGGATATTGGACAAACTAAAACGGAGAAGGTGGGAAATGTGGGGATATGGAAAAAAAACAGGTAAAAATAATCTAGAAATCAAAATAACCAAACCACTAACTGATGTCTCAGAAGCATGGAAAGGAGGATGGATTTTAGAAATGTTGCATATATGAAAGGAGAGTGAGTGGGAAGGAAGCATGATAGCCTCCAGTACTGTGTATGAGACTACAGGAAATGGGGACGGTAGCAAAATTTCCTGCGGCTGGGGGAAATCAGACTACTGGTGTCTGGAGTGGAGAGGAAGATGATTTGTGCCTTAGCCAAATTATACTTTAAGGTTCATTGAGGAAGAAAACAAATGGGCAGGAAGGAAAATAGATGGTGTGAAACAGATTGAGGACTAGATAGCTAGAACAAGCAAATGAAGAAAGCTACGACAAATTTGAGAAATAAAGGGGAGACATGGAAGGAGGAGGAAGAAATATTTGCTAAAACCAACACAAAAGCATGGCAATATGTGGGATCAGGACTAGTAAAAGAAAAAGTTATAGAGTTCTTGAAATATTCATCAGGAAGATGGTGGGTATAAGCCTCTCTGGCCGCAGTAACATCGAGTTATAAGTAAAGAGATGTGTCTTTGAAAGTGACATAGCAGAAACATGAAAACTGTCTTTGTTTCTAAAGCATATATAAGGAAGATGAAGGAAAATAAAGAAAAGGTAATCAAATAATATGACATAAAAAACTGAAAGACTCAACTGTCATTTTTGCACAATGTGCTAGCTGAGATTTCAGACAAATACAGCTAATAATTGGGCAGGAATACAAGCCAGAAAAGGGAAATAGCAGGATATAGAATACTGGATAAATTACATTCAAGTCAAAGAGGCTTGATGAAATTAATTATAGTGTACCCATAGATATTTCTAAGCCACTAATTA